ACTGGCAAGTCCAAGGAAAAGGAAAAGGCAACGGTGCTGCGGAAGATCGTGGCCGCTCCTTTAGGAGGCAGCCTTCCTTCACCTACTCCTCCATACTAAATTTTCCGGCGTCCTCTTCCCTCCGCAGCTTCCTCTGGCAGAGGGGGCCAACTCGGCAATTCGAGCACTGTCTGTGTTCCTGAATTAAATACCCCATGAGGGACATATGTTTACGGTGTTTCCTCTTCTTCGGCTAGCTACATCCAGATCGGTACGCCTAGAGCTTCTCCTCCCTACGGTTCAACCTCTGTCAACGTTACGCCAACAATTTCTTTATATAATAAATACATATTTGTATGTTTCATTTCATCAACTAACAATATTTTTCCTGTTTCGCTTTAAAATGGTTTCTCTATGATTTGTGACTTTAATTGTAAAAAGATAAACTTTTTTATAACGCGTAACGGTCCCTCTCATGCGCGTAACATGTAATATATCAAAGGGGAAAATAATTTCGCTTGATTCTCGTGGCGACTCTTTTTTCGTTGTCGCGTTGCATGTGTACATAATTAAACTCGGAAATGATGAGGAAAAATTGTGTGTCGCGAGATTCGAAACGGGGAAAGGGCACGTTTTAGAGTAGAAATTCCTTGAACGTGGTAACGAAGGTCCTTGAACGTTCACGAAGGCCAAGCCGAGCCAGGTCATGCCAGGCCAAGCCAAGCCAGACCAGAGCAGATCTGACCAGGAGATGTCAGGCAGGCAAACGAGCGCGGCGAAAGACCTTGTAAAATGCACGCAGCACAGAATATACCGAACTATATCAAACAGCACGACGGTTAAATATCGGATTCTGTTAGAACGGAAACGAACGCAAGGGTCGAACGTGTTTCTCGTTAAGTGAAGCAATTACCCAGACCTATCTGTTACTTACAACAGCGTCAGCAACCACCGCAGCCTTTTAGTTTTGAAGACTGCCTCAGCTTTGCGTCACAACCTGCACGTCTAGGCATTTTTCCCCTCGTGAAATTTCTCCTTCCTACCTTCCCTTCTTTTGCGATCTCTGTCCTCCCTTACATTCTCTTCTATTCTCTTTCAATTTTCATCACCTATAAATATGTTGCACCGCGTTCGCATACGTCGGTATCGTTTTTGTAACTTCTGACGATTCGATATACAATTTCGTATGCACTATTTTAATACTTGTGTTTAATAGTAGTCATAGTATTATCTTTAAAACTTAAGTGTAACATACGCATACTTTTTGTTTCAGTTTTTACTTACACGCTCTTGAACACTTTAGTGAGCTATTGTGTACTCTCTTTAATGCTGAAGGAATATCGCCATTGTACTCGTTTATTTTTCATACAACGGGATTAAATGAATCCTTCCAAATGAAATCGCTTCGAGGAAAGAAAATTTTTTACAGGAGCGAAATAATATCTGTCAGCTAGATTCAATTATTGTATTTATTCAATACGCTTCACTCCGGGAATCTGGAAATAATCGTTGCGGAACGAAGAAATTGGCCCGTCGCAGCCGCTCGCCAATTTTTAACGTAGCTCGCGTCAATTTTACTTTACGCGACGCTGCATTCGATGCATCGATAAACTTGTAAATAATTAACGAACGTCGCTCCTTCCATCGTTAACATCCCGCCCTGTTATTGGCTCTTCCTATTAGGCAGTATTCCCGCGGATACCGCCTTGTCGTTCCACAAAATTCGTTATATGCACATATCTACTATGTAAATATGTACCTGTATGTACACATCTACTATGTGTAAATAGGTATACCTAAACATTTTCGAATATACGTCCATACGTGTACATTGCTGATATCAAAATCACGAACTTGGTAATTTCTCAATATAGTGATTGGTTCGGTTTACGTGTAACTATCAAATTGTACACACGATTCCTCTGTCTATGATAGAAAGTTTTATCCCAACGTTCGAAGCTTCGATCTACTTTATACCTCAGATTTTCGAAAGAATCGATTCTCTTTTGCACCTAAGATGAATCGTAATAAGTAACATTACTGCAATATTATAAAGTTTTAACAATTTATGAAGATGATTTTGTAACTTTGACGATGCAGATGAAAAGTACCGCTGAATGACGTAGAGATTCTTGTTTAAAATTAGAATCGTTTTGACGGCAAAGTTTCCCTCGTAACCCTACCAACGATATCAGTTGACTGTGCTTCCTATAAAACTGTAACAATCGGGGCTGCAGTTTACGAGGTGATATAAAAATAATGGATTAAATAGAACAGGCTACCTGCCTATAATAGAGTTCCTGACATTCTTTTGTCTCCTCGGCACAACCTATCTTCTTAGCTCTTAGTAGATCGTATCGGCTAATTACTTGACAGTGTAATTATTGACCGAGCCGGAAGCGGACTGAGAACTTGCTCGGTAGTTCACGCGAACGGTCCAAATTTTCACGCCTATCTCTGGATAAACCGATAAAGTGAATTCTTACGAAGTGACTTCGGATCATTTCTTTCGGTACCACTTTATTCTATATACGTTTTAGATCACACAAACATCAAGTAAATAAATGTAAGTAAAAATACGTATTTGTATTTATCTCTAGTTAATAATACATTTACTACTGCGAATTATTACTTGTATATTTGTTGTTAATTATATTGTATATTCTATAAAATGTTGTGAGTTGACTGCTGATTTTTATGCATAATAAAACTTGTGAGGTACCAATTTAAAACATGAAATCAAATGAGAATTTTCTTTAATTTATTAAACATCATTGTTGTCGATATTATATTTTTGTATGCTACATGTATTAAATCTCTTATAAATTAATAATAAATAAAATTAAAAATAAAAATATGTTATTAAATCTCCCATAAATTATTAATAAATAAAACCTGCAGTTCCGTTATGACTATTACATGTTAGAAAAGTGTCCAGCAACAGCAGATTTAGTAGGAGCTTCTAAAAGTGAGGGATGCCAAGATCGATACAGTAAAGATAATTAGCAATAGTAGAATTCCTTGTGGAACATGATATGATATTTATTTATTTTTCCTTTCATTCTTTTTGAGAAGTTTACTGTGTGCAAAAACAGGGAATAGAGTAGAGAATTCTTCACGAATAGAGTGTCCTTGCGAAGTCACCTATCATTTTAACTTTGGTCTTCCGCAAACGCATTCCCCGACGCGAAAACCAGGAAATTTTCTAAACTAACGAAAGTCGATCATCCATCACAACAAAAGTTCGTCGAACAAGTCTTTGTTGTTGGTCCCACATGTACACAATTCATGGAACATGCCATGCTCAGCTAATAGAAAATACTGTAGAAAATAGATAAATAAAATTTTTAAATAATACCATTTATCGTCATCTTTATCATACTTTCATTTAAACTATCATAAGTGCATAAATTATAATGTCGATTCTTCACCTTCTAAATTTTACTCTAAGATAATAGGCAATAAATGAATACGAAGCACAATTTAAAATCATTCTTCATTTATTGGTTTTATTATTATAGAGTATTGAAAAATTCATTTATAATGAATGCATGAAAAGCTTATTTCAGTGAAAGCAGCAAATAATCACTTATTTTAAATGGAACTTCTCATTAAACCACCCTATAATTATGTTCTTTGAGAAAGATGGTCACATTTATGATAAAAACATATGTGTGTAGAAAATGTCTCGGAATTTTGTTAAGAAGGTTCTATAGGAGCTGCTGGCGAAGCTTTTTCTTAGGTAACAAGTATCATGAAATTTCTTATGACTTGGCTTGCGAGACTTGAGTTAAACGTGGACCTGGTATTATTTATGTTATCTGTGGTGGCTGACGATCTGTTTAAACCTCGTAAATATAATACATATATATAAATTATTTTATATTGTACATGATTATTATTATACATGAGAATCGCATTTGCATTTAAATTAATAAGTATAGCATTAACAGAATTTACTGACAGCAGAGTCTTTCATCATTGGGCATACAATTGAACAGTCCGTGACTCCGTGCGTACTCATTATTTCATAATTTGTTTTCAATTAATGTTGTATGAGCCGTAATATCTCTGCGAAAAGATTAAGAAACGTGATAAAAAGGTACGTCCAATATTTGGATAGAATGTTTTTTACTATTTAACTGTTCAACAAATGAATTTCTAAACTCGAAAGTGTTTTCTGCAAGTTATTCCAAATAAAATCGAAATAAAATTTGAATGAAAGAAGAGGTTTTCTAGAGGCTACGTTTTACACCTATTTTTTATTGTATATCTTAAACAATATCTTCGAAGTTGATATTATTTCAACTTTAAAATAGTTGTAAAACATGTATTAACAATTATAACAAAACTCTGTCATGTTGCATCAATATTATTTTTATTGTATATCTTAAACAATATCTTCGAAGTTGATATTATTTCAACTTTAAAATAGTTGTAAAACATGTATTAACAATTATACAAAACTCTGTCATGTTGCATCAATATTTTTTCATAAATTAAGAACAAATGTCATTGAATATAAAAATCCCAGATGACGATTCTTTAATAGCCTCGCAAAACTTCTATTTGGTGGCGTTTTATTAATGTAATATCTAGTAACGGTTAAAATTTTTTGTCATTGTTTTTATTTAAGTGTTTATACAACCGTAATTACCCCTTTTCATATAGTCCATGATTCGTAACTGTATTTTCGATTCTATAGGACTCTAAATAGAGTCCAGATATTTTTTTTTCTCTGAATGAATGGTGAGGAGGCGGAAAGTGGTCGCGCGTTGAAATTCTTGAATCTGGTGGATGCGGGGACTCGCGATGAGGCGAATGGTGACGATAGGGATGGGGCCGATGCGATGCGGTGCGAGGGAGGACGGTGGATTTTGGAAGGAGGCAGGCATGAAACAACCCCTACCGGCAGAGACGGAGGGAGTCTGGGAATCAGAGTGTAATGCGCTCGCGCAAGGCGCGCAAGGTGCGCGTGTCCGTGTGGTATATACCAGGCGGTTAGAGCAGTAGCACCGGCACCACCATCAGCACTAGCCAGCATTCAACAGCGGTAGCTTCGTCGCGTCGCGGTTAAATCGGAGTTCGGGATGTCGTGCCATGAGCTGTTCGATCGCCGCGTGTCGTCCTGTTAACCGTCGCGAGTTGCGAGTCACGCGTCACGAGCAATCACTTGACACGCGGTACGGACGCCTCCGCCGCGATTCGTTTTTATTTTTTTTCGTCGAGTTGGGCCCGAAACCGACAAGGGGCCATCAGTGCTTCCAAGGAATATATCTGAAGCAACGAAGGTGCCGGATCAAGTGAAAGCCGGTGCGTGGTACGATCGCACTGTTGGCGTGACACGAAAACTCACGCAGGACTTTACTTACGCGCTGAACGACGGCTGTCGTTAACATTTCGTTCCCCTGTCTTGGCTTCTTTCTATTATTTCAATTTTATTTTGTTTTGGTTCGAGTATTGGTTCGGTATTAAAATTCCATAACAAATAATTGACTTTTGAGATCGTAATCTTGACGGAAGCGAAGAGTTTATTATCGGAAATAAAATACATAGTTTTTCCGCGGGATATTCGAATAGAAGGGTGTCATCGGCAGGGAAGGGTGAGCGAACGTGCCGAAGTGGCGTTCTTCTAATTGGAACGGGAACGTGTAGACGATGATCTGAGAACGACCGCCACCATGTAAACTATTGTTATCGCCGAAAACTTTCTCTCACCATCGCGTCGCATCGTTTCGATAACGCAAATCTCTTGAGAACGGTCGACTGCGGTTCAATCTGTCGCGAATTTGCTTCGAACTAAAATAAATCGTGATGGATTGGTAATAGTAATAAGTTCACGTGATCATCGATGACCGCGTAAACGTGAACTCGCATAAAAATAGGTTCCGTTCTTCCGTTGCTTTGGATAGATACCGGTACGCATATACGTGGATTTATACGCGAAATCCGATGGTCTGTAAATCGTCTAGGAGATTTACGAGGATCATCAAGGATCGTTTGTTCAGCGAACGACCGTAACGGAACTATAATATTTTCAGATCGATCGTGCGCCAGTGATCAGAGAGTTGGAGTCGCGTCGAGTCGCGTTGTGCGAATGATCGCAACCCTCGTACGTATCGTTGGTGTGTTACGCGTGCCACACGCTTGATTTTATCAATAAATAACCGGTTACATTTATCGAAGTCCGTTGCACGCGGTTTACATTGGTTACTCGCCCTACCGCAGAACCGGTATCGTTATCGATTAATCAAACATAGTTAGTGCACGATATATACCGAATAAGAGAGAAAAGAGAAAGAGACAACGGTAACGTTATTAATTAAAAACGCAGCGGCGTGCAACGATTTTTCATGCCGGTCTCCCGCGTCGAATAAAATATTGTTAGGTAAACGTGATGGGAGGGAGTTTAGAGAGGAAGAGGGATAGACTTTACTGATGTCGATCAATTTCGTCGAATCGGGAACATGAAACGAATTTGTACGAAATAACGAAACGCGATATCGAGAGATTAAAATAGACGCGATCAGTGAATAGATATGTATCTCGATCGAGAGTAGAAGAAGCCCGGAAATACGAAGAAGACTATTGATAATTCGAAGATTGATCGCTATCATTTGTGGCGGTCGATCTGCAGTGAATTTTTGACGTTCCTCGTCCTACGTATTCTCGGATTTTCGATCAGCGATCGAACAGTGCAGTGAGATAAATGTTTCATACATAGACAGCCGTCGTGGAACGGGAACGGTTATCGAATCTCGCGAAGGCTTACCGTGAAATCAAAGGTGGCTCCGAGGATCCTCGACGATATGTGCCCGGAAATCTACGGACTTCCGTGAAAAAGGAGGTATGCGCTATCTTCCTTCTCCTCTTTTCGAACGCTACACCGGGTTAACGTATCAGGGATTTCAAGCTTTGTCGCGAGGAAGAGTTATGGACGATTTGTAGGTGCGCTTTTTAAGAGACTTATTACAGGGGCTTTCTTGATAACCGCTATAAATCAAAGTTTCCAATTGGCCCGGTATTACTCTCCGGGCCGCCTCTAAATTTTCCTGATTTATGAAAGAGTCTCTGTTTATTTATGTTGCGCTTTATCGTTCGCGAATTGATCAAAGAAATGTCCGCCGGGCGATCGAATGTTTCCAAACTCGTTTCTCAATCGGTTCGCCGCAAGTCCATTCATCTTTATCTGCATAGTACATTTCCGAACGTGATCGAAACAAGGAAAGAGAAGAAGCAAAATCGGATTCCGTTAAGTTTTAATCCGTCGTCTAATGCATCCGCGATATTCGTCCGCGTTTTGTCGGATACCAAACTCTCACTTTTTCTCTCCTCAGAGCAAGTGTTCCCTTTGAGTCCGTTCGACAACTGGCAAACACATCACCGACTCGTCTCGCTATATCCCTTTTCTTCCCTTTCCACTCACCCATCTCTCGCTCTCTCGATAACTTCAAACGGTTTCTCGAGTATACTCCAGTCGAAGTGCTCTTACAGTTACAAAGATACGTTGCCGATCGGAAAAAGTGTAACCGCGTTGGTACTCGTTCCGCGGATGTGGTTGCGAGCTTGACAGTTAAAGAACGTTCGAGCTCGCCGATGCACATTTTTGCGTACAAAGAATGATTATATTCCCGCCGGGGAAATACCCCTTATGCGATGAATGAGATTGCGATGCGGTATAATCATCGGGGAAACGTTTCACACATACCAAGGGAATCGAGTGATTTCCCTCAAATTTTTATGCGTATCTAACTATGAATAAGATAGAGAATCGATAATAGAAAGGTGTGGGAGTGGAAGGACGGAAGAAGCGCGTCACAGAAACTCTTTCGTGCATTGAGTATGTGCATGGTAGAACAAACAAAAGATGCGTGCATTTACACGTATACGTATTTAGATACGGTAGCGTACAGCGAAGAATGTTTTATGTTTAAAAAAAAATAATCTATGAACAGGGTTCTTTGTTTTGCTCCGTTAGATTGTTTAACAATAGATAAAGCTTTCGGATAAAGCACAACTTTCCTTGTTAAGAAACGTTGATCTAAATAAACGTTGAGCCCATTCTTCTGTTGCCCGCCGAATTCCAAAGAAGCGCGCTCTCACCAAAGAGCCTCATCTTCCTTCATCTCCATTTTTCTCACCCTCCCTCTTGCTCCTTTCCACCCTCTATCTCAGCCCCAGCTCAGTTCCTCGCGGTTTTGTTACTTCCAGTGTGCCGGTAGTTACGAACTTTTAATATTATTGCAGATAAATAAGCTGCTGCGTGATTTTGTGTGTGTGTGTGTGTGTGTGTCTCGGGTATTATCGAAGTTGTCTACTTTTTCCCTCGTTGTTATATTATATTTCCGTATCATCATAGTACTTGTACGAAACAGTAACTCCGATAGAACTTGAAGGACGCGGCACGATGCCGGTTCTACTATTTTATTTTATAATACGTCTATAGTATTTACATTTAAACAGCTTACGATATTCTCTATCGGGCCGGCTGCTTCCTAGCTGTGCATCGGCGAGTTCACGTATCTGCATACGTGTGCGTATACTTAGAGTATGTGCATACATATAGTACATACGTATACCACAGGATCGCGTGTCGGCAATTATCCAGACAGAAAACGATACCTTGAATGCGCGCTACGTCGCTTTTCGACTTGCTCACTTCCGGAATTACGGCAATTAGGAGCACTTTGTCGCAACCAGGTTTGCCTTCGCGATTCGCCATCGAATTTCGCCCTCTGTTGCACAACTAACGTTCCTCTTACCTATTACCCAACGACAAGCCTGCCATTTTCTCTATTTCTGGTCTTCTTTGCAATTAAGATACAAAAGACATGAGAAACAATAAAAAAGTCACAGGAGATAAGATATTCTATAAGTGTAGTATAACTAGAAAAATTGTTTCGTTCTCTAATTAACATTGCTTTAATTAATTCTTATTGCTATTATATTATTTTGCGGTATATTTTTCAGTTTTGGACAGTATCGACTTGTACGTTCCTTGAACTACCTCTTATAAACAGTTTCGAAAAATAGTTATATTTTAATCAAGCTCCGGTGGCCGCATAAGAAGTAAGAAAGAGTTTGAATTATTTGAAGTCTCATTAGGGGAGTTTTCCTTGCGAATTAACGAGATTGATATGTTGAACGTGCAACTCGTGGCGGTTGGTCCACGGTTCTCTTCTATTCCCCGGTGGTTGTTCTTCATTCGTATTTCGAATAATCTCTGACCGACGATGATGCGAACGTTCAAAAGAAAGGGTAGACTTTCCCTCGCGTTTGATACTTTCAATCGACTCGATATCGCTCTTTACTCTTTACTTTCTCGCTGATAATCGTACCGGAATAGCAGAAATACGAAAAGGTATTTACGAGCTGTGTCATCTTCCCTGACCTAAATAGAAAAATTGCTGGACAGAGGGGGCACGAAGTTCGTCGTCGAAATGTCAGTCGGCCGACCGATTCGAATAATCGGTATTTCTGTTTCTCCCTGTCCCTCTGGTTTCCGTCTAATGTGTCCCTCGATTCTCGGATTTCTCTTTCATCCCTGACTGCTCTTTTGTATCTGTACATATCGTAAAAAATGACCTCGACTAAATAGATTTAATACGAAAGTTTTTAAAGAATATTACATTGTGAAATAACTGTTGTTTCTGTTTTTCTTGCTGACACTCTGTCAAAGTTGAGTTTATTGCTAATTCGAATTCATATGCGAGAGAGCATAGGTGACAGCAATTCCTTTAAACGGCTGGCATCTGGCGTAAAAATAAAGCGAATGAGAATGTAGAGCGTCGCGACGTGTCGCGTCGCGTCGGGAACAAGTTAGCTAGACCGGGATTTGTCACCGGCATGCGGATTAAACAATTATTTTCGACAACACTCTCGTTCTCCGGTTGTTCAGTTATTTCGTCGTTTCGCGTATTGTGCGGGACGGCGCGCGGCGCGACACGCCGACAGGAAAAACATAGCGCCCGTAAAGAGGGAGGAATGGTTTACGACTTTCCGTGGACAAACGCATGGGAAATTTGGGACAGGCTAATGTCTGGTTCGGGAAATGCAGCGGGTCGAGAAAGAGAAAGAGGGAAGGAAATGGAGGAGCTGGTGGCCGAGTTGCGACGACCGATTTCCGGGATCTGCCTGACGTTTAATGAACGCTGGCAGACGTTTTGATTTAGAGGACAGTTTGATTTCCGCGCGGGGCACAATAACCGCCAATTTGTAAATCGCCTCGTAAATCTGGACGGGCAGCAGCCCGTTTCGAGCCAACGCAACGCCAATCCCACCCTGCCTTGTACTGCTCCTATTCACCTAACGACCGACCATTTGTCCAATTGGATTAAACAATCGCCGCCGTTAAAAAAGACTGTTTTTACACGCATTAGCTAATACATGTGGTAAACAGGCTCGTAAAACTTGTAGCAATCTTTCGATTGGTTTTGATTCTCTACCGTTTGCGATATTTGTAACACGTCTGTCACGCGTTATACTAGGTTGGTGCATAGTGCATATCAGACTGTTTTTCTCATAAAAAATCACGTGTCCTTTTAATAAAATATCATGTATCATGTTTTTTCTCATTGTCCACTAATATGAATGAAATTAAACGTGACATATTTCCACGTTTAGGCAGTTTTATTAGGAAATATTGTATCCTAATTATTATATACAATTTAACCAAATTTTGTACAATCTTAAACAAATTATGCGAAACAACATAATAAAACTGCAAACGGAAAATTAAAAGAATTTAGGGATTTTAGGATTAACGATCTAGATCTAAATAATCATTCGAGATAATAAAATCATGATTTGGCAACGTGTAGTAACTAATAAATTATTTGAATGAAACGTACAATATTCTACTGAAAGTAAATCCAATCCGAAAGCTGGTTAACGAATAATTCCTAGGGCTATGCATAAGTTCCGCATTTACCGTAGATTCGTTAGAAATTATAAAGGAGTCACCGATGGGTGGTGAGAGAGACAGAAATGAAAAATAGAACCGATGCGAGACAGTGACGTTAGTCGTGAATCGTGAGCGAGGAGGAGGGGGCGTCATGTTGTTAACCGAGTTTACTAATTATGGGCCGAGCGCGATATCCAGAGTTGCCGCGGTAATTTCAACACAGTGGATGTGTAAAAGCGCGATGTAATAACAGGACTCACTTTACCGAAGTGGCCATGCGATATTACTCGAAAAATCTCCATTAATTAACTTGCAAAACTTATGATAATATAATCAATCGAGTTACACCAGAGCGTGTAGCTCTCGACATACATACATACACAAATACGAGAAGCACGGTGACTGCCTGTGTCGCGTTCGTTGAAAAAAGATCAGTCTCACAGTTTTAGCCTGTGGATCGTGAAATTGTTAAATCAAGTTTAATCTGTGCGTGAAACTTCTGGAGATATAAATAACCAAGCGAACAGTTACTACTTTACCCGCACAAGTTCGAATTAGCCATAAAATTGATTGAAATGAGATTACTTATTTATTAGAAATTTGCATGTAGTTTACGTAAATTTTATTAAACTAATTTTAAACATTATATATCGAGTTTTGAT